AAAAAAAAAAAAAAAAAGATACTGGACACTGCCTGGTAGAATTTTGCATGACTGATGACTTATTCATTGCAAATACCTTTTTCAACAACATAAACAATGACAATACACATGGACTTCCCAGATGGAATACATAGGTATCAAATCGACTACATTTGTGGAAAGAGGCCATGGAGAAGCTCAATACCATCAGTCAGAACAAGGTCAGGGGCTGATTGCTCATATGCAAATTCAAGTTGAAGCTGAAGAAAATTAAAACAAGTCCACAAGAGCCAAAATATGACCCTGATTACATCCCACCTGACTTTAGAGACTATCTGAATAATAGAATTGATACAGTGAACACCAATGACCAAAGTCCAGAAAAGTTGTGGGATGACATCAAGAACATTATACATGAAGAAAGCAAAAGGTCATTAAAAGACAGGAAAGGAAGAAAAGGCCAAAATAGATGTCAGAAGAAACTTTGAAACTTGTTCTTGAATGGAGAGTAGCTAAAGCAAAAGAAAGAAAGAATGAAATAAAAGAGCTGAACAGAAGATTTCAAAGGCAGCTTGAGAAGACAAAGTATTATAATGAAATGCGTGAGGACCTGGAATTAGATAACCAAAAGAGAAGAACATAATTGGCATCTCTGAAGCTGAGAGAACTGAAGAAAAAATTCAAGCCTCGAGTTGCAATGTTGAAAGATTCAATGGGCAAAATATTGAATGATGCAGGAAACATCAAAAGAAGATGGAAGGAATACATAGAGTCACTGTACCACAAAGAATTGGCTGAAGTTCAAACATTTCAGGAAGTAGCGAATGATCAAGAGCTGATGAAGTCCTAGCTGCCCTGAAGGATTTGGTGAAAAACAAGGCTCCAGGAGTTGACCGAATACCCACTGAGATGTTTCAACAAATGGAGGCAGTGCTGGAGACGTTTACTCATTAATGCTAGGGAATTTGGAAGACAGGGACCTGGCCAACTGACTGGAAGTGATCCACATTTGTACCCACTCCAAAGAAAGGTGATGCAACAGAATGTGCAAATTATCGAGCAATATCATTAATATCACACACAAGTAAAATTTTGCTGAAGATAATTCAAACACAGCTGCAGCAATAAGTATATTGATAGGGAACTGCCAGAAATTCCAGCTGGATTCAGAAGAGGACATGGAACAAGGAATATCATTGCTGATGTCAGAAGGCTCTTGGCTGAAAGCAAATAACACCAGAAAGAAGGTTACCTGTGTTTTATTGACTATGCAAAGGCATTTGGCTGTGTGTATCATAACAAATTATGGACAGCTTTGTGAAGAATGGAAATTCCAGAACACTTAATTGTGCTCATGAGGAACCAGTACATAGACCAAGAGGAGGTTGTTTGAAGAGAACAAGATGATACTTTGTGGTTTAAAATTAGGAAGGTTGTGTGTCAGGGTTATAGCCTTTTAGCATACCTATTCTGTCTGTATGCTGAGTAAATAATCTGAGAAGCTGGACTATGTGAGGAGAACATGGCATCAGGTTTGCAGGAGGACCCCTTAACAACGTACTTTATGCAGATGCATGACCTTGCTCACTGAAAGTGAAGAAGACTTGAAGCACTTACTGATGAAGATAAAAGACTACACTCTTCAGTATGGATTGCACCTCTACACACAGAAAATGAAAATCCTCACAACTGGACCAGTAAGCAACACCATGATAAATGGAGAAAAGATTGAAGTTGTCAGGGGCTTCATTTTACTTGGATCCACAATCAGCACCCATGGAAGCAGCAGTCAATAAATCAGATGTCATATTGCACTGGGCAGATCTGCTACAAAAGACTTTTTTTAAAGTTTTAAAGAGCAAAGATGTCACTTTGAAGACTACGATGTGCCTGACCCAAGCCATGGTACTTTCAGTGGCCTCATATGAATGCAAAAGCTGGACAACAAATACAGAAGACCCAAGAAGAGTTGATGCCTTTGAGTTGTGGTGTTGGCGAAGAATCCTGAAAACACCATAGACTGCCAGAAGAACAAACACATCTGTCCTGGAAGAAGTGCAGCAAGAATGCTCCTTAAAAGCAAGAATGGCTAGACTTCGTCTCCCTTCCTTTGGTCATGTTGTCATATGGGACCAGTCCCTGGAGAAGGACATCATGCTTGGTAAAGTAGAGGGTCAGTGAAAAAGGGGAAGACCCTCAATGACATGGATTGACCCAGTGGCTGCAAACGTGGGCTTAAGTACAGCAAAGATGGAGCAGGTGAGGTGGTGCAGGACCAGGCAGTGTTTTGTTCTGTTGTACTTAGGCTCACTATGAGTCATTGTACATAGGCTCACTATGAGTCGGAGCCAACCCAGCGGCACCTAACAACAGCAAAAACAAAGTTCATTTCCTAGTGAAGAATGAATAGATATATTCCTAATAGTTTGGCTATTTTACATGAAATGTACTTCTTAGGGTTTCTGCCTTCTTAAGTCATGGGGCAAAAAAACATAACAAACCTTTCTTACAGCAGAATCAGTGTGAACTCCAAAGGTAACATACAAACATTGTAGTAACAAAACTCATGACTTTCTATTGGCATTTTCCCCAGGAACTTGCCGATTTTATCCAAACTTTGTTTGTCTAAAGCACATCACACAAGATCCTGCATGAACTGGACCTTGCCCATCTCCTATACCCCACTCTCTGCCACTCACAATGCTGCAGCCACACTCTTTAAATTCAGCCCCTGGATTTCGAGTTCAAATCCAGCCCTGTTGGATGTCAAGGATGCAATCTTTGGTAAATCAGCAGGCTTCTCCGTGCCTGGAATTAAATGAGACAAATCACGAAACTAGCTCATAGTGCAGGTTGTTGTTGTTGTTGTGTGCCGTCGAGTCGGTCCCGACTCATAGCGACCCCTCCTTGGGTTTCCGAGGCAGTATCACTACGGATGTAGATTGCCCAACCTTCCTTCCGGGGAGTGGCTGGTGGGTTTGAACCGCCAGCCTTCTAGTTAGCAGTCAAGTTTTAGTAGATGGTAAATGGTCACAATTTTATCGACTGATGACTCCGTGCCTGCCACTGTATCAAGTTATTTTATTTTGTTGCAAAAGACCTCTTGGTTCTTATTTTATTTTTTTAATAAAACCACTTTTTATTGTGATTTGGATGAAGGTTTATATTAAGTGATTTTTGGAGAATATCCAAAATCTCTAATAGAAATACATGCTAGATACTTAATCGTTCTTTGAGTGAATTACTATTCACCATAACCCTGGAGAGTGGGGTAGAGATTACAGGCTACTTTCAGAAATAGAGATATATGTGTGCATGTCTATGTGTATATTAAGAATCCTGTGAAATTGACAGGCAGTGCCAGCATTATTATTTTATTTCACAGAGGAGGGTAATTGACTTGTCAGAGTGCACTTAAATCCAGATCTTTTTAGTTTTACATCATAATACTTATTTCTATGACATAATGAGATACTATTTCTATGTGTTAGCTTTTCACATTTAATCAAAAAGCTTATTTCAAAATCTTCTTCACTTAATATGAAAATGCTTTGCTTTCAGGTAACTAAAACATAGCTTACTTTTTCTCTGCAATCCGAGAAAGCAACAGCATATGACAGCTTCTGATCGTTTGTGCAGTTACACTCCTCCCGAGTAGATGCATTAGCACACTGCTTGAATTTACCTGTGCTCTGGAAATAGGATCGACAAGGTGCATGCTCAAAGTGGTGTACAGGTCTCAAAGCATGTTTCCATAAAATTTTTATGAACTGCTAAGGGAAATGCAGTAAATTTATTGTGGAGAAACCCAGTAGACACAACTTTAACCAAGAATCGAGATTCCTAACACCAGTAATAAAACTGTCCCCTGATAGGATGAACTGAGACATCACTTCTGTAGAGTTTGTGCCAATTGAAGTCATTTACAAAATAACTGACCAATACTCTTAAAAAATGTCCATGTTCTGCATCAAGCTCAATTGGCATAACACACTATATAAAACATTGTTCCACCTCCTACTTTGGGGAGTAACGACTGGGATCTTAAAAGCTTGCAAGCAGCCATCTAGATGCAACAATGGGTCTCTCTTCATCCAGAGCAAAGAAGAATGAAGAAAACCAAAGATTCATGGAAACAATTAGTCCTAGCGATCGGTATACCACGCGATCTGCAGCCTTTATGACTATGAGACCAGAAGAACTAGATGGTGCCCTGCTACCACTGCCAACCACTCAGAGGGGGATCTAAGTAGGAGAGCCTGGATAGAGAGGGAGAGCAATGTGGAACAAAACTCAAAATCATTTTGGAAAAAAAAAGGGGGGGACCAGGTTTGCTGGTCTGATAGAGCCTTGTGGAACCACTGAGACTATGGCTCCTAGCTGCCCTTCAGTTCTGGAATTGAACCCACACCTGTGGCTTCCAGTCAAACAAAAGATAGGCATATGAGCTGAACACATACCTGAGGTAGATATACTCCTTGGAGAGACAATCTTGAGAGAAAGAAGGGCTGCTTATGCACAGGGAGATAGCTTAGGGGGCAGGAGTGCATGGAGGGATGGACATGGGGAAGAGGTAACTGTTGGGAGGAAGCGGGAGGGGAGCTGTTGCATTGTGGTAAATTATGGTTAATGTCATGAGACAAAGTGTATGTGAACTGTTGTATGGAAAGTGAATTTGCTCTGTAAATTTTCACCCAAATCACAATTAAAAAAAAAAAAAAGTCCATGTTCTGAAAGACAAAGACAGACCTAGAAACCATCACAGATTAGAGGAGCTGGAGCTCTGGTAGCATAGTACCTAAGGCATTTGATTGCTAACCTGAAGGCTGGTGGTTCAAACCCACCAGCCACTCCTTGGAAGGAAGACTGAGCAATCTACTTCCATAGAAATACTGCCTTGGAAACCCAAGGAGGGGTCGCTATGAGTTGAATTGACTTGACAGCAGTGAGTTTTTTTTTTTTTAAAGAAGAAATAACAACTATGTGCAGGATTCTGGACCACCACAAAAGGACTAAAGGAGAACTGGAGAAACCTAAGTAAGGTCTGTACTTTAGTTAATAGAAATGTACCAATATGAATTTCCTGGTTTTGATAATTGCACTATGGTTATGTAAGATGTTAACACTGGGGTGAAGCTGCATGAACGGTACCCATAGTAACTCTCTATACTATTTTAGCAGTTTTCCTGTAAGTCTAAAATCATTTCGAAATAAAAAATTCTTAATTTAAAAATCAAAAATTCTGCCTTATGTAGCTTACCTTTTTATGGGGGCAGAAAGACAATAATAACACAAATAAGTAAAATTGTGATAAGCGCTAAGGACGAAAACAAGGCAAGGAAAGGGACAAGGAGCAGGGACAGTAGAGCTGGGGTTCCAATTCTAAATAGAGTGGTCAGGGAAGGTATCCCTGTCATGGTGACATCTTAGCAAACCCCTGAAGAAGGTGACAGAGTGAGCCATGTGATATCTGGCAGAACTGGATTCCAGAAAGAGAGAGAACTGCACGTGCAAAAGCCCTGAGGTGGGAACATGCCTGGTACATTTGAGGAACAGCAAGGAAGCCAGTGTGGCGAGGGCCGATTGGGCAGAAGACAATCAGGTCAGATCCCCTTTGTTTTCCCAGACAGGTCAGGGAGGACCTTAGAAATCATTGCAAGAAATGGGGAGACAATGGAGAGTTTTGAAAAAAGAAAGGACAATTTTAGGTCTCTCTGTGTGTGTGTGAATGAAGCTAAATGTCTGCTTATGTATGTATATAGGCAGGTGGGTGTACTTTTCCAGAGAGAAGTTTCTGTGAGAAGCTGCCCCACAATGGACTTCTCTTCTGGACTGACTGGTTCCTTTCTGCTCACGCTGCCCAAGAAGGATGGTGCTGCTGGCGGCTGGCTGTTCTCTAGGTTGAGTCTTCACAGAGTATGAAACATGCCTGTGTGGAAGCAAACACGCTTCTTCTTGCCCTTTCAACACCGTTCCTTTCGTAAGGCTGGAGACATGAGATGGGGCTCAGGGTTCTTGTTTGAGAAAAGATGACCTCACTGCACAAATCCCCTTTGAAATACAAATAGCAACCAGGAAGAGGTAAAGGAGGAAGAGTCCATTTAGACTTCTTGGCTCCAAAACTGTGTCCAGAAGCACCAGCAAGAGGGGAGGGGCCTAAGGAGCAGTAGGAGCACCAGGGACAACAGCCGACGTGTTGCGGCAGATGGAGCTTTCTCCTGGCTGCACCTTCTCATTCAATCCCCACAGCTTAGTCTGTGTGTAATATCACTGCGTTATTTCTTGAATTCAAATAAATACCAGTTTATTTGTAGAGTAAAGTATTTACCTTTGACTTGAGAAACAGATTTCTTGGTATAGGTTTGCTAGGATCTGCATGGTAAAAATTATCTGTGAGTGGAATGGCAATTCCCATGGTCGATGGAGGCCTGTAGTTTATCTACAAATGATTAAACAATGAACATATATCATTCGTTATTATTTACTGTCTTTAATTTAAATATTTTTTTTACTTTTTTTCAGAAAAAGCATTCAAAGTAAACATTTCATTTTTAGATTCAGGAATTAATGTAAACTCTTCTTCATTCAACACCTCCACTTCTCCCTCCCCGCCACATCCTGGAATTGCAGCAACCTCAATTTGTCATTGATGGTGGTTTGAACCCATCAACCACTTGGCTGGAGAAAGATGAGGCAGTGTTGTTGTTATTGTTGTTATGTGCCATTGAGTCAGATCTGACTCATAGTGACCACTCCTTGGGTTTCCGAGGCAGTATCACTACAGAAGTAGATTGCCCAACCTTCCTTCTGAGGAGTGGCTGGTGGGTTTGAACCGCCAGCCTTCTGCTTAGCAGTCAGGTGCCTTAGGCACTGTGCTACCAGAGCTCCCAGATGAGGCAGTAGGCTTCTATAAAGATATACAGCTTTGGAAACCCTCTGGGGCAGTTCTAGTCTGCCCTCTAGGGGCTCTGTGAGTCGGAATAGACTCCACAGCAGTGGGTTTGGTTTGTGCTTTGTTTCCGTAAAGAAATACACAGCCTTGGAAACCCCATGAGGCAGTTCTACTCTGACCCCTAGGGTTGCTACAAGTCAGAATTAACTCAATGGCAGTGGACTTGGACAATCTGTCATAACATAACTTGAAACTTGTAAATAAGTGAAAAATACATTTAGTACCTAAAATAGTTGTCATAAAGTTAATGAATTAAAGTTTAAAAACTTTATGAAATACCCCTAGTGACATATTTAGTAAGTAATCCTTCCAGTTTGGCTATTTGTGTTTTGTCAGAAAGAAACTTATAAATAAGTTATTTTTTAAAGAATAATAATTTATATTTTAAAAAAGGAATCACAGATTCCAACAAGGCAGAACTTAAAATCATGATATTGAAATGGAATTAGTAAACTATATTAGCGTAGGATAAGTCAAGATAAGGACAAAGAGCTGTTTATACTGCAAAAGCCCATGATTATATGACTGTTATATAGCATGAGATGACATTGATAATGATGAGACTAAGTTACCATGGAAAACAATTATTTCAGAAAGTTTTTACATTTAAAAGAACATAATGATCGTATCTTTAAAATGACATGAGGATTGATTCTTTGTGAAGTGTGTTGAGCATCTTGCTAAAAATGAACAGCCACCTGACTACTCGACAATGATACATCATCGGTACTCTTATAACAATTCTGCTTATATTTTTTACCGGTAAAGTTTTGATCAAATTAAAGTCCTGACTGTCTTTGTGAATGCCTCTAGTCCAGTCTTCTAATGAGATAAGTTTACTAGGAATGTAATGCATCAATCTGAGATAACTGCAGCTGCTTTTCACTATTAGCATGAATGTCGTAACAAAGCACTCAGTTGACGCATCCCAGACAATAAACGCCAGTGACGTTGACCCCTGGAAACAGCCAAAGAAGTGAGAGTTATTTAAAGTGATCAACTAAAGAGAGGAAGTTTCAGTAGAAAAAGAGTGACAATTTTGACTGTAAAGATAGGTGTGAGGATAAATAACAGAAAACATAATCTCTTACAGGAAAAAAATACACCCTGATCTAATTGGTTGTGGGGTAAGAGGAAATGAGCAAGGATCAAGGATGACAAGTTTCATAAATACCATCAAGTCAGACTGATGGTCAGCACCTGGACATGTGTTTTGATGATGTTTTTGGTAGAAGTTCATGCATAGTAAATGTATTTGATCTTTGAATAATACCAAACCCTCAACAAAGCTTGATAAATTCTGTTTGAATTTTAAAGTGTTTTTGGAGTTTTTAAAAATGTGGAAATATTAATAACTGTAGTGGTGGACTGGACTTTCAGTCGTGATTATTTTATCATATCCCCAGACTCTTTAGCCATTAAAAAATGATGCTGTAGCACTTTCCATGTTTTCTTGTCAAAACACATTGGACCTGAATCTAAGTGGAGATCTACAATTAAAGGAAGTGGGGGATAATGGCACAAATTAATGCTTAGTTATCCTTGATAGGTAGGATTCATGTAACTTTTCCTCTGTTTTTAGCTTATATTATACATGTTTTGTAACTAATAGTTGTTTTTTGGGAAAAAATATGATTCAAGTAAAGAAAATCTTACCGCACGTAAAAATTTGGTACATAAAGAAATGTTCAAATGATAACTGTTTGTATTATCAAAAAAACCATCAGCTCTAATGTCCAATGAATTTAGGTTTCCAACTAACACTGTCACTAGTGGTACATCAAGTGTTAGAAAATCTGTGGAAACAAGGTCAACAGTTATTATTAAATATTGAAAAATTTAAAAGCAATTTAGTAATGAGTGGCTAAGTCAGGATTTTAGAATATCTATAGAATTTGAAGGCACCATAATGGCTGCAAATATAGTTAACAATTTATGTATATTTAGTCAACTCTAATAGTTCTTAAGAACAATCTGCTTTATCATGATTTTCCATTTACTCACAGAAAGATCATGCCCCCCTAGCCCTCATGCTGCACTCGGGTGGAGGGGTAATATTGGTCACATTCCTATAGGGTCTCTATGTTGGAATCGATTTGGTGACAGGGAGTTTAGATGTTTTGGTTAAGTTAGTTAACTCAGAAGGAAAACTGAGAGGTATAGGCTCAGTTTAAAGAGCTTCCAGTTAACAGAAACTCTTAGGCAGTTCAAACAAAATAAATCACACACCAGTTTCTGCTTGCAGGTCATACACTTGCAAGCTCTCCACACTAAGAACTTTAAAAGGCATTTGAAATACTTAGTCTCAAGCCACCTTCACTCCTTAGGAAGCCAGTGCGGAGGCATGAACAACTTGCCTGAGGTTTCACCTGCAGCTATTTCTCTTGAACCAAAGTGATGTGTCCTGTGCTTCCTAAACTTACCTTGGGAATTCTGTTAATGTGCTTCCTAAACTTTACCTGGGAATTTTGTTAATGTGCACATTGTGATTCAGCCGGTCTGGAGTGGGACCTGAGATTTGGCACTTACTTCTAACAAAGCTCCCAGGTGACACTGATGCTGCTGGCCCAGGGACCACACCTTGAGTAACTAGAACCAGACTTTCATTCACAAAGAGGCAATTGCATTAATTTCATGTTATTATTTGCTTCCATCAAATTGAGGAATAAAATTTTTATCTCCTTATAGTTAATTCTGCATCAAGTGCATATTTTTGAAATACCAAAATATAAAATCTAAATTCTAGATGATTGTAGTGCTGAGTGTAGAAAACTAATATACATGTACATGAATTTCTATAGATGTGTTTGTGGAGGGATGGGCAAATATTGATGGTAAAACTCTTCTTCAGAATCATGTTAACTGTTGGGTTGTGACTTAAATAACCCAGGGTTTGCCTTGAAGCCATTACATCCTACATTTACCAAATTAAATAAACAAAAAAAATTAGTTGGGTCCCAACCAATTTGGCATATTTTAAAGCTAAAATAATTAGAACATCATTGTATTGGTGACAGAATGTGGAGCAGTAACAATGCAAAAGAATTTAGAAAATCCAGAGATGGTCAAAACAAATAGGTAAATAGCATTCTAAGAAAAAGCTATATTTTGAAATCAGTGAAGAATGGATACATTATTCAGTAAATGATGGTGGAAAACTCTTTCTAACCACAATATGCCAAAAGAAAATGTAAATAATTGAAGTTAACACCATAATATTAAAACTCTAAATTTACTTGAAAGAATATGAAAAAAAAAAAAAAACAAAAAACCAAACTCACTGTCGTCAAGTCGGTTCTGACTCATAGTGATACCTCCTTGGGTTTCCGAGATGGTATCTCTATGGAAGTAGATTGCCCAATCTTTCTTCTGAGAAATATGGAGAGTAAGGGATATAACCAATAGGAAAGAATTTCTAAAGGTTTTAAAAGGAAATATTTTGGGATATTTAATCCACAACATTGATGGAAATAAATGTTCTCCAAATTTTTCCAAGCCCTATAATTTTTACTTACATACATTATATTTCGTTCTGTTTTTCAAATAAGCCTTTTCAAAAATAGTGTTTTATGCTTTCATTATGCTTCATATGTCTTCTTTTAGCTTTTGTAGAGGTTAACAGGACAGAAAAAGGCGAGGGGGACAGGGACAGAGTGAGGAGTCAGTCGCAGGGATCCAGGTGAGGGGAGGGATCCCAGGCCATGCCCCACAAGCGGCAAGATGGGAAAGTGGGGGAAAGGACAGAAAAAGGCCAGGGGGGCTGGGACAGAGCAAGGAGTCAGCTGCAGGGATCCAGGTGAGAGGAGGTTGGAGAGGTTTCCAACAGCTAAGGAGACAAACTTGTCTGTTGGTTTGTCCCACTGTGGTGATGTGTTGCTGTGAGTCTTGAGGCTGTGCCACCAGTGTTTCAAACCCAGCAGAGTACACATGGTGCAGTGCAGCTTGCAGACTAGGACAGACTAGGAAGAAGGAAAAGGCCATCCACTTCTCAAAGAATTGGCCAGGGAAAACCTTATGAATAGCAGAGAAACACTGTCTGATACATTACTGCGCAACCTTATGAATAGTCCG